ATATATATTCACATAAAATTTTCATTTTTTATTCTTTACTTCTAAAGATTTAATTGTATGGTTCAGGATCTTTGCTGTGAAAGCACCCTCTGCATCAGTGGAGATAATTCCTTTGCAATCTAAAGCTCAGTGAATTACCTACAACAGTCCAAAAGCCACACAAAATTCATCTTTAGTTTCCAATATAGCATTGGAATTCCTGTTGTATTCACTGAAAAGATCATCAAAGGTCACAAATTTGGATGTACTTAAGAAGACATGAAGCTTTTTTATCATAATAAATGTCCAAATACTTTCAATCATAGCAGAAGTGACATTTCATTTCAGAAGAATGTTTTCACATTGTTCTGCCGTCGTCACAGTTCATAGCTACTATAATTTTAACAACTCTTAGCAGTGGATATATGAATAATTCTACCAGCTACAAAGTAATAGGCTGAGAAACTTGTAGTGGACAATTCTATAAACTTACAATAAGTATTTTGTTATGCTGGCATAGAATCATGTCTATTCATATGTCTTCCTATACGATTTAGGAAACCATATCAATTAATAACTGCAAAGGATCCTGAGTCGTACAAAGGCTGATTAGAGACTCAAACCTCATCAAAACTGTGTAAAATTACACCCAGGACCTGGGTGATGTCCATGTTCATGCTGCATTCACATTTTGCAAGACCTCCTCCCACTAGAAAGGACAAAATAAAATTAGATTAGAAATGCTGAAAATCTTGGAGTATTTGGCTTCCTAATCACAATCCAAATCATAAAAATGAGGACTATCTTTAGATAAGGACAAAGGAAGAAAAGGACTGGAAAAGGAGAAAGAAAATCAATAAGATAAATAGATTTTTCTAAGCAGACTGTATTGGAGTTTTCCATGAGGAATCAACGATTCTTTAACACACAGCTGTGTGGAACTTCTTATTGAAAAAAGTTTCTAAAGACATATAATCAAATCCAGGAGGGTTGAATGCTGTAGAAGACAATTATATTAATACTTTTACATTTAATCCTCATTCAGTGTGAAATGGCAAAATATAAAATATAAAAAAATAAAATAATAGAGTATTATAACAGAAAAGCCTGCTCAACCTTAGATCAGTAATACCAACATTATAAGAATACAACAGTTATAAGCAACACATCAATAGGTATGTATAATATACACATTTAGGGCTTGATATCTGTGGTGGACCAGTTGCTCAAGGCCACTAAAACATCAATTTACACCCAACACCAATTAAATGTGCAAGAACTTCAATTCAAATGAGCAAGAGTGGAAATTTCTGTGCACTGTGCAAAGTACACAGGCTGTAATGAACTTCAGAATTTGGAAAATATTGTTAGCCTGTCCTTTAGCAGTGGGAAGACCAGAAACTTCTACGTGCCTCCTGAAGGCATGTGGTTTAATCTGTGGTTCTGAAATAGAAAAGTCCTCAAAGACAATATCAAATAAAATTGTAAAGGGACAGACCATTTTGCACACTTCTTTTCTCTGAAATCTTCAAAGCAATTCATGTTTGAGGGCTTGTTTTTCTGCACATTCTTTGGACAGCATAATTTTGGCCTTCATTACAGTGTAGAGGTTATATTAAATAGCATTTGGCATGCTTTTTTATTATTAAAAATCTGTATGTGATTTTGCTTAGTAGAAATCAAAAATGTGATGCTACATACTGGCATTGAGGTTGAGTTTGGTCAACCACATAAAATAATGCTTTGCACTTTTAAATGCCTTTCATCAGAGGATATTCAAGTGCTTTGCTAACATGAGTCAAGCCTCACAACACCCCTGTGAGGTAGGTAAAATACATAGGAGGAGGAGGATTTCACTCTTCAACATGATAATGTCTCTGGGCATTAGGTTCACTAGCACTGCAACATAGCACAAAGGTTTAGGGCTTACTATAAGGCAAAGAGTTAACTGTACAAGAGCACAGGATTCCTTCTTCTTTTGGTTATATATGAGTCAAACTAACATGTGGGACTACATGGCACTGAACAGCCAAGCAAATGCCCACACAAGGATTTCATGCACCCAATCCACAACCAACCTCCTCTGCACAGTAAAAGACACACAATGATAGGTGAAAAATAGGTACAAGACTTTAGTTATGGGATGGTTCTACCAGTTCTTGAGGAGCAGAGTACCATGGGAATGACAGCCCAGGAAACAATACTGTCTTCACAGAACTCTAAAAATAGACCCTTGGGTTTGGTTCTTTCAGCACTAGCATTCCAAATACTGGAGATAAGAAACTGTTAGTAACTTCCATGCCTTCTGAAGGAAACAACCAGATAAAACGGCTGCTCTCTACTCTGGCTGGCTATGTGTTCTCAGTATTCAGGGCCATGATGTGATCAGATGGTTGGGATAGGTTGGGACAGGATAAACAAACACTGTTGCACATCTACATTCTACCTCTGACGCTGCTGCAATCTGTCTCCTGTAAGCTCTCTGTAGTTTTGTGGTGTTTTCTCCACAGTGTAGACATGGGAGAGTATTTGGCCCCCATCAGTTTTATCCTCAACATTTAGCTTCAGTGGTGCAGATAGGCATTGTACAAGTCCACTGTGTCACTGATCTTTCACATTAAGGATTGAGAGGAAACAAACATGATTAAGAAAAACATCACTGATCTACAAAAGTCTATGTGAAATGCAAGGAAAAAGAAAGAAAACTGTGTTCTCAGCATTAGTCAGTACAAGTAAACACAAATACACATCTCACTTTCTCTATGTTTCACTTTTCTATGACGGCATAAATGGTACATCCCATATTTGCAAAAATACTGTCCACACAGAGAATCTGACCTGTCTACCATAATAAATCATGACAGAGGCTGGTCTATCACATGCAAGACAGCCCTCTTGGGTAATTTTGAGTCTTTGCATGCAAGATATTCTCCCTTTTTGCTAATTTAAATTTGAATCTTATGTTTATTTATAATACCTGTACACTATCAGCTACAAAACTTACTACTGCGCAGGCTGGGTGACCCATCATGGGTCACTGCCTTGTAAAATAGCTGAGAAGAGGTGGTTCATGGATTCTGTGAAATCAATGCAATGTTCCTGTCCAACACTGCACCCACTCACAGCTAGAACTACACTGTTTCAATGATCAGTAGTGAACAAATGTACACGATTACAATACAGGAATGATGTCCTTCTCATTTGCTCTCTCTCCTCTCTCCTTGCCCCATTCTCTTTCTCCTCTCCCACAGGAATATGGAGACTGCAGATATGACTGCCAACTCAAAAAATGAGCTGACATCTTTGTGATTATTAAGACACAAGCTGAGTGGTAGATGAACCAGCAGTGAGTGGCAAAGTTGACTTTACATCTCATACTGCCCCAAGCTGGAAGCCTTCTGTGTTTCCTTCTCCTTGCTTTCCTTTAGTTCATTGAAACACTGATTGTCGTAGATAGTCTTTGTGCTTTGTATAATGCCCAAATTTGATGTAACTCGAACTCACATACAAAATGTGGCTGCTATACAAAAGCATGCTAAAATAGAGGCAGGGACAGTACAAGCATGCACAAAATAGTCTTTGAAGGATTTTTTTTGTTTGTTTTTCTCCAACATTTACATGCACCACTTAGTAACGTTTGGTTGTGCACATTGAGGACTGGATTTCACAAGCATTCATGATCTCCCCTTCTGAAAATCTTCTTGATAATTTCACAAGAGCTCAGTGTAAAAACAAAAACCCACAATATAAAAAAAATTCCTTTATCCCTGCAATCTGATCTTGTCTTCATGACTTTAATGTTGAACACTTCTAAAATGTCTCCTCTTTCTCTAGCAGTGTGTCATGTTAAAGACAGATTAGTGTGTCAAGGATTTTCTTAGCCACTGAAATAGATCTTCCTTATAAAGCCTTTGCCACCGCACATTGGCTTCCACTGTTTCCACGGCACGAGAGAAAGAGACAGCAGCTCCCCCTTCATAACTCTTTATAAAGTTCTTTAGCTGGAAATACAAGTTAACAGGTTAAATTTGCAGGAACTAAAGAAAGCAAATACTTCCAGTTCACACAAATAAGTCAAGCATTTAGAACAAACCTTCACAATCACTGTAGAAGCAAATGTATTACCAGGTAGAAAGATTTAATAGGAAATGTAATAAGACAGCAGACTGTCAATTAAATGTGATGCAACTGCTTCACATTGCACTGGAAGATATTGCCATGTCAGTGCTGGATCACATTAATATCATTACCTCCTTCCCTCCTGCAGCTCAGCTGCTGCACTGTGTAGATGGCTGCTCTAAACTTTTATTTCTACCCAAGAAACCAAACTGGAAGCACTGAAATTCCTTCTAATTCAGGTTTATATGCAAATATCCGCAGAAGGCAGACCTGATGCCCTTTGGTTTTATCAAGCTTCACAGCAAGTTTATTTCATTTTGATTTGCAGAACCCTTTTGATGATAGGTAGGTTATTGAAAAAAGGGAGGGATGGTTACAATGTCAAGAGAATGGCAAAATAGCAAGTAGACACTCATTTGACAATTGCTGAATGCCTGCAACAGATTGCTTCCTACATGCAAAAACTTTGATCTTTCTTTCTGCAGATTGCAAAGGTCCCTCTTCTGTTCTTGTGTGTACTCAAATTATATCACCATCACCTGGAAGAAAAGGTCCCTTTTCTGTTCTTGTGTGTGCTCAAATTATATCACCATCACCTGGAATATTACAGCTGATGGCACTGGTGTACTTTGAATTACTGTTAAATCAGAATTGCAAGACTGATCAGCACAGCAGATTGTAGGTTATGTTGACTTGCGTAACCATTTAACTTTTGTTTCCTGGCGACACCAAATTCACCTTGCTTATTATAATCTGACTTACAGCCACATCTCTTTGTGCATGGCCTCAAAACTGAAAAGGCTGATTCTGTAACTGTCTCATTCGCATCACAGTTAAAAGCATGGAAAGTTAAAAGCATGGACAGTTAAAAGCATAGACTTGGAAACTACCAAAATCAGACTTTACCTGATCTCTGTACTTTTTATACCAAAATGTTTACAAGGCCAGTTTCTTTTAGGAAATTATAAACAGGAAACTTGCAAATCCTCTCATGGAGGTGGAAACTAAGAGTACAGAAGGTTTCCTTGCACAGGGCAGACACTCAAATCTGGCTAGCACTGTCATTCCCACCTGGGTAGTTTTGAGGAAAGCAGCTGTGGCTCTTCCTTAAGTTCCTGAGGCTGCTAGACTTGAGTGCAGACAAATGGTTGGATGCAAAATATAACAACACAGAAGAGTTCAAGTAATGATGATTGTACTGCATAAGAATCATTGGATCCATTTGGAGCAATGTTGAGCAGCTGCTAAGCAGGGCATAACACAAGTGCACAACTAACTCAGTCAGGACAGATGTTAAGTTAAAATGAGTAATCTTTTCAATCTAAGTAAGAAGTACTTAGCATTTAGAACAAACTATTGTGGTGTCATTTGGCCAGCACATTCAGTTAACAGCTCTTCTCACATGGAAAATACTGTAAGCGAAAGAAAAATGGAGAATGTACTGGCAGCTTCTACTTTCAACCCTGAGGTTTACAAGGGCTGCCCTCTGCAGCATAAAGTAATGTGGACAGAAATATCTCACCTTTAGTTTCTCCACAAATTGTCAAGAGAAAAAACAAAACTTCATACCCAGCTAAGTCCAAAGAAGCGTCTATGCAATCCCTCTCCTGACACCACCTCTACACACTCAATGTACCTTAGCAATCTGCTCCTCTTCCTTGTGCTGCCCCACTACATGGGCATTTGGGCCTTTGACTCCAATTGAGCAACCAGATTGCCTGGACAACCTTATTATTGTTCCTGTCCCACTCCACGCTTATGACAAATATAGCCTCACATGCTGAAAGTAATTTAAAAATTACCTCTCTTAGCTCTCCTTCAGTATTGAGGAATTCTGTGACCCCACTGACAAGCTTTGAATTCATAAATAATGCTTCTCCATACCTGCAAGGACAAAAAGAAGATGTAACAGAGAGTTACTTCAAGTGCCAGGCCAGCTGAAAATTAGAAAGAAGTCTTCAGTAAGCAAGGAAGAAAGCACGGGACTGATTCTGGGGAATCAAGGGAATAACACTGCAACTGGATAATAGTATTCCAGTGTTTCATGCTAAAAACCTAGACTGAGACCTTCTTCTAGGCTGAAATATTTGTAGTTATTTTAAGTCAGATGCTATTAAGCAGAACTGGCTTAACCACAGACACAGATGAGAGCTCCAGAGGAGAAGAGGAGCAAACTACAAGAACACTTCATGCTTAACAGAACAGCTTTCCCCGTAATTACAGCAAAATACAAGTGCCACGAAGGAGCAGAGCAGCAACTATGGAGAAGCATTCTGAGGAACCCATCTAGCTGTACCATTAAAACAGACTTTTTGAAGTGCTGCAGCCTTCTCTGCATTTTGTATTCATTCACCTCATCTACATTACAAATAGCCTCTTGATAAGTGAACTGAATCGAATTTTCTTGTTCCAGTACCTGATAATTAAAATAAATAATACTGATAGAGAATAATGCTGCTAAAATAATCCCCTGGGCAATGGATGTAGCATCTTCAAAGAACCAACCTGGAATGAAGATTTGAAAGCTTAGGCAAGGAATATTTAAAGGATAGTCAGTAGCAATCAGAATGACCTTCAGCAGACATGGCCATTCAAATCCTCCTGTTCATGTGCTTTTCTACAAGGTTTTTTCAATTCTCCAAATGAAGCATCTACATCACATACAAGACTAACCAGACCACTCCTGAAATTTTACATTTCATGTTGGAATAGTTTGTGGGGTTTGTTGTTTTGTTTGGGGCTTTTTTCAGTCTCTAGTATGAAGAATGTAATTCCACTGGAAACTGGAAGCAAGTCTTTAGTTCAAGTTAGATGTCATTCAGCACAGTAAAAGGCACTTGACAAACAGTTATCCTTATCTGTATCTGCACATATATCCAAAGCAGTATCTAGAGAATCTGAACATGTCTGTTTTTCAGATAGGGAATCCAACCCTCTTGTCTGACATGTGGAAGACTTGACTGCAATTAAGTTTATCTGGGGGAAAAATTCAGTTCATACTCCACTTTTACAAACTGATTTGTAGAAGGAATTCAAAATTCAAAGTGAAATGAACTAGTGCAGTCACAGCTTTCTATTCTGCTTCTATTAATACCAAATTAATTACCTTTAAATGCTTAGGTAATCTAAGCCACAGTTCTTTCAAAGAGGAGAAAGAAGGAGAAAGAAAGAGAGGGATAGCTGAAGTCAGAGGGATAGAAAGATGGAGATAGAAGAGAACTAGGTTCTCTCTGAGAAGACACTGTTTTTGCTATCTTAAGCTTATGTGAAGAGAAACAAACTCAGAGGTATCAAAAATCCCACTCCCTGACCACTAATAACTGAATTATTCATGGGTATTTCAGCAAGTACATCTCTTTTCCCAAAACTTCAGTCATACTGGCATATACAGACATCCAGAGCCAAATGTCTCCTATGGGAAGTATGGATTTCATGGTCTTTTAAGCACGTTTAGGCTTTCTAACAAAGCCCTTTATGATTACAGTCTCAGCTTAGACATAATTGACTGTTTGGAAAACTGGAAGCTCCTCTTGATGGGGTCTTTTGACAAGGTTACCAATCCACTTTAGAGATGCAACCTCATAAAAACAGCTGCAAGGATTTTATTTTTCTTGCAGTCTGTATTGTAGCCACAGTGCAAACAAGAAGTAACAGAATTCCTTGCACTGAAAATTATACTTTTGAGCTTACCTGTGCTGATTACTGCCCATTACACATAGTTGGTAAAAAGTCAGCCATTAATGGCAATTTCTACATGAGCTTGCTGGCAAAAATTCTAGAATTTTCCTTCCAAAACAGTATTTTGCAGGTGTGAAACATAAGAATAAATAGGAAAAGTGTTTGGTCGTGCAAGCGTCAGTTTTCTCATCCTTCAAAGGAAAGCCAACAGCACTGCAGAACCTGGACCTTACACGCCTGAACTGCCTGGACACATCCTGGAGACAGAGGCTCTTTGCCTGCTCCTTTCCTTCTGAGGATGTAAACCTCCACTGCCCCACATCTGTACAGGCTTTTCACTTGTGCAAACCTGAGAGGCAGCATAGTCCATTTAAATGCCTTCCTAAATACTGTCAAATTCCCAAATGCTGACAAACGATTCAGCACTTGAAAATGAAGGAATTCTTAAAGGCAGCTGATGGATTAAATTTTCATACACAGACACAGGTGCACACAGGATGAAAATGCTTTAAGAAACAAAGTAGTGCATGATCAGATAACAGGATTCAAGCATAGTATTTTCAATTCTCTTCTGCAGAATTTTAGTAGTCTAAGTCACAGAGATTTCTCACTAAAGACTTGCTAGGCACCTCAATTTTTAAGTCACCTTTATAAATTATATGAGTGATTTTGAAGACTTTACACATTATCAGTATGTTCTGGACTACACGAGTATGAACATACTATAAAAATATGAAGGGTTAACAATATATTAAACTGCAAGTGTAGCCACATTTTTAACACTTGGTGCTTGATGTAGGCAGGGATAATAATTTCTAATTTTCTGTCTCCAGGGGTGGCATTAATAATATACTGTAAAAATATGAAGGGTTAACAATTAACAATAACAATATTTTTGTGGCAACTCTAATGCCTTGACATGCTGTGTTTTACAGTAAGAGGAAATAGCATTATAATTTAATCCCCCTTAGCTATTTCATATTATTATCTGAAACATCAACACCTCTTACAAAAAATTAAATGGAAAATACCACTGAGATATCACCTTATTAAATTAATGTTTTGTACAAAGTATTTTCATTTAATCAAATTAAATAATAAATTATAATTGTAGAAACAGGATGCCTTGGGACAGAGTATACTTCAATTACAGAACCAAAGAATGCTTGGGGATAGAAGACACCTTAAAGGCCATCCAGTTCCAATCCATCTACCATGGGCAGGGACATCTCTCATTAGACCAGGCTGCTCAAAGCCCCATCTAACAGTGCCTCAACACCCTCACAGTAAATAATTTCTTCCAATTATCTAATCTAAACTTTCCCTCTTTCAGTTTGAAGCCATTCCCCTCTGACCTATCACTACATACCCTTGTGAAAAGTCCCTCTACAGCTTTCCTGTCAGGCCCCTTTAGGTACTGTGAGGTGCTATAAGGTGTCCCCAGAGCCTTCTCTTCCCCAGGCTGAACACTGCCAACTCTCTCAGCCTGTCTTCATAGGAGAGATACTCCAGCCCTTGGATCATCATTGTGGCTGCCCTTGGGACTCACTCCAACAGGTCCATGTCCTCCTAGAACTAGAACTCTACAATAAAGCTTATATTTTTAAAATGTAGTAGTGTGGCAAGCTTAAATCAGAAGCCTAATTTTGCATGCTATCATGTCACTGTTTCACTGAACATTAAGGGACAAGGTGTTAGACTAATTCCACCCTCTCAAAGTCTCATTTAAAAGGTTCTAATCTATGATTACAAAGCAATGTTATTTGCAATATTCATCACATAAGTACATCCTGCATTAACTAATTCATTCCACTACATTGAATCTTTTGGTGACCGATAGAAACTCAATTGGATGTCACTTTTAGAAAAACCAACTGCTGCAATCTTTTGGTGGACCTGACTTGTGTTTGGAGATCAAATTGAATGAAGACAACACAAAGACAGTGTTGGGCAAAAAGACATATTCTCTGTTATTTTCTTATTAAAATAAAAGGGCAATAATAGGTTTTGGATGAGGTGTTGCTGATTGCTAGGAATTCAGCTTACAAAATGATGCATTCCAAGCAAGTGAAACAAATACAATTCAACTTCTAGATGAAGTTAAGCTATTTAAAATAAAAATACATAAAAAATTTGGCATGTGGCAGAGTTTTCTAAATATTGTCTATTTATCTACACAAAGACAATATTGTCTATTTGTCTACACAAGGTTAAGACCTGGTCCACATCTAAAATCACAGACGTTAGCTAGGTTGTCAGATAAACATACTTGATATGACAGGACACAACTACTGCATGTGTGTTTGTAGCAATGCAGATTTGGTAGATTTATGCATAAACTCTACAAATCCCTGGAGGAACCTGAAAATTAATTTGCCCTCTGCACCAGGCTGCATAACAGTAACGTGTCTGCCATCCACTTTCTCTGTGAAAGTCCAGTTTCTGGAATAATCACACACCAGAAGCAGAGAATTTTTAATTTTTTAACTCTTCAGCACTCTTAAAGCTTTTTTGGAAATGGCTTTTAAGAAGTATGCTCCTGCAATATAAACTTCTAAAACCAATTCCAGCTCAAACCTATTTTCCCAGCTGAAATTCTACTAAAAACCCACTATACTATAAAGTATTATCCAAACCAACATGAACATCTTTTTGAATTTTTGTGGAAGTTGCAGTGTCTGAATTTCCTTCACTCTTATTTTGATGTTGTGAAACCCATAGCAAGTTTGTACCTGTATTCATCAGGCCCTGGGATTTAGTTGCTTAAATACAGTATCCTAAATATATAATTTCCATTATTCTGTGGCACACTAGTTGGCTCCTCACAAGTCCATAATGGAACAGATCTTCAATACCTTTTCTGCCAGCACCACAGGAGTGGCCTGGTGTGAGGTGTCTTTAAGAACCTGAACCTCATTGGAGTTGTAGTCCCTTCTAATCTGTCAGTATCAGATGAGTTGCTGTGCAATCTTTCAGGCCCTCAGGCTGTCCTAAAGAACTAAAGAAATTTGCCATTCATTGAATTAATATCAAAATCTTTATCAAAAAGGATTTTAAAATGTTGACTGGGCTTCTGAGTAGGAGCATGTAGCACTTGTTCAAAGAGAAAGAGAACCAGGTGTAAGGAGCAACCCTGTCTCCTTTCTGTTCATCTATTTTTAATTCAAAATGTTGCTCCTCTATTACTTGAAACTCACCTGAAACACAGAGTGGAAAGAAAGGAGATGACACCATATTAGCATCCTTTTGAAAATGGAAGTGTTTCAAAAGGGGTTTGGTGTTTTTTTTCTCACAGTTGAAATAACATTCTTAAAAAGATTATTTTTTCTATCAGACTTCAAATCAGCAAAATTCCACTGGGAACTGCTGCTTTTTATCTATGTAAAAGTAGAACTGCAGCACTTGACATATAGATAGAATTCATTATCATAAGCACAGACACAATACAGTCATATATATAGATGATCGCTAAGAGACAAATGTCTCTACGTATGTGTGTGATAACCCATGAATAAATGCATTTATGACTCATTATGTAGGTATTTCATATTTAGAGACATCTCCATTTATGAATTAAAAGAGAATGGACTAGATTCAGGAACTTAAATGAATACATACATATACAATACTTACATGAATAATATCAAGATGAGAAAATGAAAATAAATCTACTTTTTATCTTTACCTAGCATTTAATATTTTCCATTTTTCTCTGAAAAACTTCCAAGCAAGATCCCTTCCATGTGGATTTCGAGCTACGTGGATTATCACATCAATTGCATCCTGATCCAGGACAACTTCTGAGTTGAGAGACAAATTCAGAAGTCTAGTGGGAGAAACAAGAAAAAAAATCCTATTTAGTTTCACCAACACACAGTCTAACATCAGCATATTAGAGAACTCTCAGAACAAAAAAAAATCACTGCAAAATGGTTTGTTTAAGTCTCCAAGTGAGTTGACTGGCTTATTTGTATGATTCCAAAGACTGGACACATCTTGATGTAAAAGGATTTCAGTAAAAGCTGAGTGGAACTTTATGTGTGCATTTTTATGAAATCTCTAAGATCAGACATAAAGGATATGCTAGCAAACAAATACCACTAATGATTATAGGATTTCAAACATTTCAAATTAACATAGGAAAATTTGGAAGTGAAAAATATAATATGCGCCAAATTTCATATGCATTAATGTAAAAGTGTAAGATGGTTTAAACAGACAGTAAGCATATGCCTGAAAAGCAAAGTTCTTTTATTTAGGCCAAAGCTCAAGTGATATTCCATGAATGTTAAAGTGATTATTGGTAACAGATTCAGATATATAATATTTTTGTACCTGTTGAGCAAGTTTCTGTCATCACTGCAAGTTAAGGCTTCCAATAATATTTTCTTCTCAGACACTGCTGCGGTAGAATGAAATTTCATCCAAATGAACTCCCATACATCTTCATCCATTAGTGAAACTCCTGTACAGTAGACAATGTCTCTCACATTGAGTGGGATTCTACAAAAGAAATCAGTAATAGCATTGTGGCAAATAAGTAGCCTCCTGAAACAGGAGGAGGAACATTTATGAGACTTCAAAGTTAATGTGCGACAGCAATCTTGTTTAGGAAAATTACATTTCAATCTCTTTACTGCCACCAACATCTTCCAGGCCATCCTAAGGACTTTCTAATGGGTCACACATGCTTTCCATTCTTTTCGTAATACTGTCGCATTGTCAGGAGGCTATAAAATAGAGTCATCCAGTTCATCAACACATAATGTGCCACATAACCTACAGGTAACATAAACTCTCCAGATTAGCACGGGATCTTATCACTCTGTTGCTGGGCTCTATGCCAAATCTCCTCTTTTTGCCCTTAGTACTGTTTTAGGACAGGAGCTCATCAGTCAGAAACTCCTCTTTGCTTGTGCTATAAAGTGCTCCATCTTCATATAGCAACATACAAGTAAGGAAGGATGCGCTGTGGCCATGCTACTTAAACATGGCATTGTCAGGAGTGAACAAAATAAAAAGATCTGTTCATTTTTTTCAGCATATTAATACTAGTCAAAAACCAGCTATGCCATATGATACTTGTGAACTGTGATTACTGCTCAATTTATATCAACTCAGACTACATTTTAATGACAGCCTCTTGAAGCCAAATTCAGACCTAGATATATTATTTGCATATGTACCATTTTCTTCTAAAAAGATCTCATCTGGGCTTTCAATTTCCTACCCTGCTTACGTTTCCTATACAAGCATAGAAGCTGAAACATTTGTGAGCTAAAGGGTATTCCTACAGGTAAAGCTAGACATTTCTCAGAAGAATATGTTTCCGATTTTCCATCTCATTGTAATGGAATTTGTACTTCTTACTTGCAAGTCTATCATTAAGCCCTTGTTGTGGTATTTCAAACATTAATGAATAGCAACAGTTTATTTTTCCCCCGTTTAACTTTCTTTCAAAAAGTGGATGCAAAGGAAACTGACTATAACTGATTCTATTGCAGAAAATTAAGGATCCATATTTAAACACATAAAATCAAGACATACCAAAATCAATGGAGCAGGTATTTATGCCTCAAATCTGTCTTGTTATATGATACCTGAATATGAAGAACAACTGACCCAGTCAAGCCTTATTTCAGTGAAGGAAGGGCTTTATATCTTGACACAAACACTAAATCATTTTCTTAGAAGCACTTGTAGTTCTTTCTGAGCTTTGATGGCAGAAATATTATCTTTGGTTTACTGCAAGAGATGTGATTCAGCCATCAGATACTCTGAGGAACTATAAAGTACGTGGAAAGGGTAATACCTTTTTGGTTGATTGTCCCATTCATTTAGGTAGGAACTGTGTACTGGAAGGACTGTAACTCTGTGTTTGGCTAGTATGGTCACAGCAGCAGAGGTACCTAGAAGTGGATGTCTAGGCCCAGAATGGTCAGCATTCCTCACTTGTAAGGTTTACATTTTTCAAAATTACAGTAAAACACATAAATTCAATGGGCTTTCCCAGCTAGTCCATTTTTTTACAGCAGTCTGTAAGCACAGGATCATTTGCATCTCTGGGAAGGAAGGAGGACTTAAGACCAGTGATGGCACTGGTCCCATGACCATAGCCTAGGTGTCACCATGTTCCACGCTAATCAAACTCTACTGACACTAAATTGGTAATAGCATACTGGCAGTGCTGCAACAGATCTATTCAATATCATCCAATCAATTGCTTCAGGTCTGTACCTATAAGCTAAGTCATTAGGGAAATGTGAAAAAAATCAGCCCCTACAAACCAAGACATCACAATAAACAGTGATTTTAAAAGGCTTAGCTTCAGGAACTACAAAATGTATGGCTATGAAATGCTACAAACTACTCCTGTTAGAGGCTTGTAATCGGGACTGTAGGCAGGGGAGTTCTTTTTGTGGAAATAAAAATTGTTTATGAAAATGCAAATATCCCCAAAGTCATTCCTCTTTAACTATTGCCCCAACAGAGAGTCCTCTAGCTGAATTTTCTCCATTTGTGGGGATTTTTGCTTTCTCTCTCATGCAGTTGTTATGGGTGTGTATTTCATCGTTATCTAAATATCCGAAATCTTCCTGGTCTACTGATTTTTTAGTATTATAGCTTCAGGGAAAATGCTGTTCTAAAAATGCAGTTCCAAGGCACTAGAACAGCATGTGAATGTTTGCCCCTTGTATTAACTGAATTGAGTGGATAAAATTTCAGTACTGCTTAGGTAGTAACACTGCAGAATACATCCCCTTGTTATATTAAACATCATCTGGACCTTCAAAGCTGCTCTCATTTTTAAAGAGCTAATATGATTGACGGCTGTATCTCAGAAGAATCAAGATAAATGTTTGAGAGCATCACATTAAATGGCTTCTATTTGAATACTGATCCAATTTATATAACTTCATTTTTCTTGCTTAAGAGATATGATGGTGAGAATGAAATACGTAGTTAGGGAGCTTGTGTTTAAAAAGTAAAAAATCTGGGAAAAAAGCTAAAAATTAAACAGAAAAAAATAATTAAAATTGTGCTGTGCTTTTGCAGGGATTTTTTTTTCGATAAGTGAATTATAAAGCTCTACAATGAACTAAGAATAATCTTCTAAGTTATAATTAATTGGTACATACTTGTTCCTATTTAAAGTATGTTCCAACAATTGAAGATACACTTATAAAATTGGACCATAATTATTTATCTTCTAGGCAAATTGTGTTCTAATTTTTTAAAATGTAAATGCACACAGTTTAGACAGTTCTTTGATTAAGTAACAAATTTAATACCATTTAGGGTACTATTTGACAAAGAAAATTAATCAGAAACTTTATTCTTTATTTTTGCAACAAATTAACACTTAAGCCTATTTTTCCTGATGACTATATTTATAGTCTTGTTTAATAGGTTTCAAGGCTCAGAAAAGAAATAAGAAGAAAGTGTTAGTACTTTGTTGGCATATTTGTAATACAGATTCTATTATATGGAAGAGTACCACACAAAGTTAATTTTTTTAAACTTCAGTCCCAAATCTTATACTCCCATTCCCTATTACAAACTCCAGGAGTCATGCTGCTCGCACCACTGTGCACACAGAGAAGGGCATGATTCTCATCCATAGCACATATCCATTCTAAAGAGGAATGGCAGAATTCCCCTTTGAAAATTGAGGCATAGAGCTTTGATGGGCTTGACATTCAGATGCCTGTCATGCATTGAATTCAGGGGATATTAACTGAGGATGTGGCTACTCAGGGTATCTAGGGCAAAGCTATGCACAGATGCCTGTGCTTTCAAGCTTCAGGTATCATGCAGGTCTCATCATCCCTCAAATGATGGTTACTGCTATTGCTCCTTTCACTTCCTATCACAGATACCCCATGAGCGAACATGCAACTAGAGCACACTCAAGCTCCTCAACACTGATTTTAATGAACGAGCGATAAGTTAAGCATTTCTTTGTGAGGCTAGTCTCTGAGTAGATATGCCTTGCTTTGTCCATTCTGGACAGCTCTTGCAACAAAAATATGGTCCTTTCTGATCAATTGTTTTGCAAAGTTGTGGAGATATTCCTGAATGAGAAAATTGGGGACTACCTAACTCCTAAGGATTGCATATTAATTACTGCTAATCCATAATCACTACATATAGGGTCATTTTACTGTGGTGACACACAGAGGTCAGAAGGTAAAAATGCTACCTGAACTAGCTGCCCCGTAAAGTCCAGTTTTGTCATTTACAAGATTAAGTCCTCTCTCTATTCAGACATACTCCCCAGATGGTCTTTCAGAGAACTAAATCCTTGATTAACTCACGCATTCAACAGTGTTTTCTTCCTCCTTAAACAGTTTTATTGACTTGAGTGCAAGATTCTACTCAAATGTTGTAACAACCTATTAATTAGTTAAATCACTTCAGCAACATTGGCTCACATTAGCTGGCAAACCTCCAGTAACATTTCAAAATGCATGAACAGCTATGCCTGAATTTTTTTCAGTAATTAAAACTTCTAGGGGTTGAGAACACAGAAGAAGGGATTCATTTTATTGTTTTACATTTATCAGACACTCATGTGTGAAAAAAATGAAAATAACTCTCATTTTTTCATGTTTGCTGCTAATGATTTCCAAATATAGCTGGTGGGCATCAAGCCCTTGAAAAAAACCTAGTGCCTCTTCCAAGCAACTAACAAAAATAATTAACCTGTTGGCCATGTTCTCACAAATACTTATGTAGGTGGTTAAACTTCAGTAGATTTATAAGTTGTTGCAAGACTGTAGCACTACTGAGTCCATGTGAAACACAGCAATAAAATTACCTATCTCAAGCAATTACAGAGAGAAATAAGCGAGGAGGAAAAGCAAAGAAAAAAGGCTTTGTTTGGAAAAATATTTGATTTTCTATCACCTAAGCCAGGCTTCACTGAAATTACCTCAATTAATTACTGGTAATTTGTTATTTACCTTTCCATCAGATCTATGGACAGTCATTTACAGACATGTTACAGTCTCCTACACACTCCTGCCATTCTTTTTCCAGTGACATTTCTATTGAGTAGTTAAAGGTGCCTCCAAGTAAGCACACTGCCAATTTAGGTGGATGGATGGACATGAATCCAGTATTCCCTGCAGAAGACATAGAAAATCTGCACAATGAAAAAACGTATGGAGATTCAAGATTTACAAATTAGGCTTGTTGGTTATCACTGTCTTTCAAATTATGGAGGAAGTCATCTTACTTCATTACTTGCACCTTTCTCAATACTGATAAAGAATTAACTAGTGTTTCTAACCATCACAGCAATGTGACAAAAGTCTCTGAAATAGTAAACAGAAGTCACTGGAAAAGTCCATATCCACATTAATACACTTTAAAAGATTATATGAGGTAATTGAGTACTAGGGTGCAATCATCCAAGATCTTGATTAGATTTTTTAGTAACCAAAAGTGGTTAATTTGTAATGCAAAATGACACACAGATGTGTTCTAATTTGAAACCC